TGGGTTCAATAGTGCATCATCGATATGGACTGGCTGAGACTGGTCGACTGGATGGTAGATAGAATTGGATTTGGTAATAGCATCAGAACAAAGTTGCTGTGAATGCTAATGCTGAAATTTTGATTGGGACATGCAAATAGGAAAATAGAATTTCAAAACTTATCAAAGTGGAGGGGGACTGGCTGAGACTGGTCAACTGGATGGTAGATAGAATTGGATTTGGTAATAGCATCAGAACAAAGTTGCTGTGAATGCTAATGCTGAAATTTTGATTGGAAAATAGAATCTCAAAATGGAGGGGGGTGCGGGGGGGTGCAGGGGGGTGCAGGTTGACACAACCTAGGTAATTTAGGTGACTGAGTCACCAGCGAGGGGCAAGGCGAGGGACGGGATAGGGGGGAAGGAAATGCAAGAAAGCATAATTGAGGCTTATTAAGTTTGAGTGAAGGAACACTTGATCTGTCAGCGAGATATTTGATACTAGGAAGTGAGATCTTGAGTCAGATACCTGATTCTGAGAAGTGAGGAGGAGGCGAAAGCCAGTTGACAAGGTGCATGTTTTCTTTGGTATTTCTGTAGGGGAGAGCAACTACTAACAGTTTGGCTGAGCTGGTCCAGGAGTCAAAGTGCATGTGGGTGATTGGGCACCAGTTTGAGCCTCCTGTTCCACATACGACTCCTGCCTCCACCCAACGGTGAATTTGCCAGGCTGTTAGCACAACACGGCGCTGAGGCAATCGATCCAAGGTGAAATCCTCTTGGTACTTCTTTTGCGTTTGATATGCTTGCCAGAGATAAGTAATCGGACTGCCGCCCTCCCTTCCACATAGATGGGGCATGAGTTTGTGTGTGGTTGACACAAAAAACTTGCAGCTTCTTCACACACCAGTTTCAACCAACTCTTCCACTTGCTCCGTTTGGTGAGGCAGTTGGTTGGCCAAGCTTGCAATGAACGAGTTCGGTACTTACTCACTGGTTATTAGTCTCATCCCACAGAGGCAGAAACCCTGTGTTGCATCCATTTAAATCCGAATTCTCCAGTTCTGTTTACTGTTGCCGAAAACATTTGGCTCTCTTCATCTCTGATTGATGGATTATCGAATAGTGGTTGCAGTGGTAGATGATTTGCTGTTTTCTGCATTTCCTGATTGATGTATCTGCCAAAAGCATTTGGCTCTCTTCATCTCTGATTGGTAATTTCTGCATTTTTTCTGAGAATTGCTGTTTGCTGGCCTGATTTGCGAAGATTTCCGAGCCTGAGTCCGTTTGCTTTCCTGTGTTGCCTGTGTGTCCGGGAGTGTGTGTAACTGCAATCAGACTCGTCTCATTCACACTTTGCATGCATGTAAACAGCATCGCAGCAAACTGGCGACATGCGCCCACACAGAACTCAGAGATATGGTATCCAGATAAGAGTTCACTTCCACTGGCTATGGCGACTCTGCGCCCAACAACTCACTGTTCACACACACCGGATCACCCTGGATATCCCACACGCGGCACTCTGAACACTCACACCACACACACACTGGCTACAACTATGGCAGCTATGGCTGCCTCTACGCTATGGCTATGCTAAGCTCTCCTGGCCCACTTCGACTTCGGGCACACTGCAGACCTCCTCGCACAAGCCGCTGAGACAGCGCTTCCGCATGGCTTCCGCAGGAATGAATGAATGGCTGTGTGCGGCCTCTTGATTTATACTTTTGTGGCTCGTCGGCCTGCCCTGTTTCCCTGGCCCACGGTGCACACAGTCCCAGGCGGKACTTGCTTGACTGGACCGGACTGACTGGACTGGGACTGCTGACTCTGCGCGGTGGACTTCCACCACTTGCCCACTTGCCTTGACCTACATTGGGCTGACTCCGAAAGGCCACTTCTAGAAGCCTCTACTTGGCCTTTCGGTCCGGTAGCAGCTACGACTTTGGCCCTTTCAGGTAAGTAGCAGCTACGACTTGGACCCTTTGGAAAGTCTACAGCTAAGACCTCTGGACTCTCTAGACTCCTACCCGACAGGTCTACAGTTCGAATCCCCTATACCCTGTAACCTACGATGACCTACCTACCACTGGCAGTCCTACAGGTCGCAGGTTCAACTCTACGGGTTGATACAGGTACTGTACACAGGTAAGGTGGGGACTAGGGATCGAGCCCTGGGATCTGCATCAGCTACTGCGAACTGGTGAATACCGTTTCACTCCCGCTGGCCTAAATTCGAGGTCCTCTGAGAATATTTCAGTCCAAGGCAGGACCTTTACCCTTTCTGTCTTTTTCGTAGGCCCTGACTATGTCGGGAGCTCTTTCTAGAAGTTCAGTTCTAGTGAACCACCGGTCGTCTTCTGGTTCCTGGTATGCAAATCTGATTTTATACTGTTTTTGAGGACGACCTCGACCTCCTGTTCTAAACACGTCTTCACCTACAATGCCGTCAATGTCGTACCTCCCATCCATGTCTGGAGGGATCATGGAACTTCTAGATGGGAACTGGTGACTTACTGTGCATGGCAACAACTTTGACGCATGGAAAACTGGGTAGGTGTGGAGGTGTAGTGGGATCTCTATCGAGTAGGAAGGACCATCTTCTCCGCCCTCGACTTCTAGAACTGGCCATGGTCCTCTATACGCGGGCAGTAACTTTTGCGAGATGTTTTCCTCAGGAGCAAACTCTTTAGCTTTGACCCAGACTAAGTCGCCTACTTGGAACTGTGATGGGCGACGATGTTTGTTGGCTTGCTCTATCATCCTATGCTGGGCCTTCCTGAGGTTCTCTACAACAGTAGCTAGTTATTTCTCGTGCTCTATAGCAAACTCCCTCGTTCTGGGCGGTAGCCTATGAATCTGAGCCAATTTTGTGCGGTGTGCGAACTTTGTTCTTACCTGTGCAGCACATTAGTGCTCTCGTAACCCAAACTGAAAACCCACTGAGCTTACCCTCGCGCACAGTCCTTCGTGCTGCGCACCTAAACCGCAGACTATCTCACCTCCTCGCTTAGATCACCAGTTCAGCAGGCCTGCTCGAGATCACATATTCCTAACATGGCGCTGTCACCCGGCTCAATGCATCCACAGCATGGATGGCCTATTTGAACACTCTAATTTTCACTCAAGGTACGTACTGACAGCCTCTTGGCACAGCAAGGCGACAGAGAAGAAAGGTCGTATGCTGAGACTTTACAGGATGTGTAGACAAACTAAAGGAGAGGGGAGAAGGGAGTGGCTGAGGGGAGCAGGAGGTATGCGAGTGATTTTGAAGTTCGGGGGCTGGGGAAGACTGGGTAGAAGGGGATAGGAAGCCTTACGTATGTGCATGCACGAATCATGGTGCAGGGGAGTCAGCCCATCCCCATGCATCTTCTGAAGGCCCATGATATACTCATTGTGCACACTCAATGGTGGGTGACTTGGCAGCTCCAGCCCCGGTACCGAACTGCAATGCCCGTGTGGATTTCCTGCTCTCATTGTCCTTTTTGCCCTGTCGTGCAAAACCTTATGCCGCACTGTTCGAGTAGACGTGGAAGAAATGGAGAAATATGTAAATGACATTATTCATTTGAATACAAATCCCCTCCCTCCTGACGTTCGTCCAGGCGTCTCATTTCACTACGTTGACAGGGTCGATGAGGGAATGCAGAGGGAGAGCTTCAAAAAGACCACAATTGCTACACCGCTCTCTCCTACTCTCTATGTTTGCCAACCTCCTGGTGTGTGTGTGTGTG